ACATACTGGTTGTTTTATTACCATACAAGCTCTCTGAACTTGGTGATCTCCAAGATGACTCCATGATTTCTGGGTACTGGCTAAACAAAACGAAAGACAAAGTTACCTACAAAAGTACAAATTACTGTTGTCAAAAGATCAAATATCCATTGCGGCAATAAGTATTGTGAGATGTGATGAAAATCAGCAGGAGAGTGACCTCTTTCTTCACAGGAAAATACCATTAGAAAAGATTACCACTGTAAATGTACCGTTGGAGTTCCACAACAGCATTGTCAATTGTTTAAAAAAACACGGTTTTATGTAGGTTGTGTAGAACATACACAATCATGTAAAGTGCACTGTAATGTAATGCCATTTTTATTATTAAATTCAGCACTGAGCCTTGACATCGATCACTTTGTGAACCCATATTTCCAATCACCCATATACTGTATACATGCAGTACATGCCTCTTTTGCATCACAAAGAACGGTCTAATACTTAAAACGTTTACACACCGCGATTTGTTGGCGCGACATTTTGTTTCGTTCAATTTAATACGAACATTTTTGGTTCTTTGCCATGCTGACATTTCCAACTTTATTTTCAAATATCACTGACGTGTATCTAAAATCGGTCCCACAAATTGTAACATGTAATCGAATCTTTAGACCCTCCCCCATTATGCTATTTTTACAATTAAAAAAGGTATAGTCTGTGCATTCAATTCATGCATGATACAATAATATATACAAGCATATGAGAAGGACGAATACAGCATGTGGAGGTCCTTCCTATACATCAATCAAGAAATTCAATTTCCGTCCCACTCAAGTGCGCACTCATTAATCCAAACTATTGTTTTGGTCATGCTTTTAATGAGTTCTCGCTTAAACTTTGGACTCTCTTTGCATTTGGACCAGATCTAGACAGCAAAATGTTTAACCTAGTAGCTTAAAATATAGAAAAATATGTAAAAAGAACAATAAGATAGAAGTTTTTATACGTGTAGTATGTCAATCCACTTTCAATATTGAGATCAGAAATCTACAAAAAATTTAGCGTCAAAATTACATGTATAAACACACTTATATCTCCTTACGGTTTTCAGATATGGATTTTAGTTTTGGACACGTCAATCTAAATGTCCATTAGGCCACATAAACAAAATAGTTGGTTATGTAGTATTTCTGTTGACTGTAGTCAATTGTGTTAATAAGTTACGAAATTGCGTGCGAAAATGATGGTATGAATCATATTTTGAAATGTATAAAATATATCTGTACTGCGCAAGAAAATCCAGTTTCAGACCTAAAACCAAGGCATTAAAAATTAGTAATAATTAAAAAAAAGCGTCCGCCCGCTCACTTTTTGGCAAAAGCTAAGGACGCTAACCAACTATTTTGTTTTAAGTGGCCTTAGATAGTTTTTGTTGAAATAGGACCACTAAATACGTCAAACATTGTCTATTTTAAAGGTTCTTATTTTATAATCGGAGGTTTAAGTATGTGTTTGTTTGTGATGGTTTAGATTCCCAATGCAATGAAATCGCTTTTTACCAACATCACATTCACAAGGTTGCACCCTATTGTGCGTTCTTTTATGGCGAAGTATATTCGATGGATCCGGCAATCGTCTGTTGCAAACATCACATTGATAACATTTATCTTTGTTGTGTGTTAGTTTATGCCTTTTCGGGCTATCGCCTCGGGCAAATCGTTTCTGGCAAACATTGCACTGATAAGGTTTCACTCCAATGTGTGCCTTTTTGTGTCGCTCTGCAGACTTTATGGTGGAAAATCTTTTATTACTACAAACATCACATTCATAAGGTTTGACTTCAGGACCTGGTGCCGTTCTTTTATTCGTTGTTCCTGAATTAACAAATGAATACTGTATTTAAAAGCTTCAAAACAATCTCAAAACAAGTCAATCAATTTCAATGAATGCCAAATCAGTTCAACACTAATTTAATTTCCAAAACAGCATTCATTAGGCTATATAAAATAAATTCCTTGATTCTCATCACAGCCCAACGATATTTCAACTTCCACATTGATATATTTTTGTATTTTGTTATAAAATATAAATTTACCGCCCCGACCGACCACCTAGAGATTTATTTATTTTTTATAATTGAATTTTTGCGATAAAATTGTTTAATCGCCATGGGCTTATTACAACAATTTGTGTGTACCCATTAATGCATGTGCAATTCTTCACTCAGTATAGCAGTATTAATCTTCTATTCTTGGGTTTCACTACAGCATTATGCAGTGAATCTGACGGTGGTCAACCTCAAATGTATTGATGCTTATGCTGTACTGGAGTGAAAAAAATGATACGAAATTCTGTGTATTTACCACCAAACACAAGGCTAATACATAAAACGAACAATCGACTCACTCTGATAACTGTATTTTGTTTTAGAGTTGACCCCCCCCCCCCCATCACTTTTGTGACGTCATATAAAACCCAAGAATAATCAGCTTGAACTTTTCCCAAAATTAAGGTTATGTCTTAATTGTAACAAGACGCTCTGTGGAGTGTTAACTCGCTGGGATATACACAACTGATGCACATTACTGTTAAGATCTAAAGGCTGATTTCCACTGTTGCGTTTTTGGTACGCACATACACGCACGTAACACTTTGAATCCTTCTATTTTTAAATATTTTACAAATAAGTTAACAAATTCATACTAAAACTTGCGAAGCAGTAAATTCTGTTGCTTTATTTGTTTGGTTATTTTACAGATTTAAAGTTTTACGTGCGTATATTAAGCCTGGTGTGGAAATTAAGCCTGGCCTGGAGCTAAGGGGAAACTTCCGGCATTTATGCCTACAAGTAAAGTTATGTTTTATAGTACGCTACATTCTTCTGTTGGCCGCCAGTTTAAAGCGTTCAAAATAAAATATTTGGGGGCTTTTGGGCTCAAAATATTATGTAAATGAAGAGAGAAGTGAGACGAATCCACTGGTGTACGGCCGAAAAAGAGAAAACCAATGATACCAAAGTTATCAAGGTCAAGGATCAAACGTACTGCATCTTTTATAATTTGAGAGATTTGTCAACAAATAATACAATTTCGCTTGGCTTTCAAAGGCAAAGTCAAAGGCCATAAATCGCTAGAATACTGTTGTCAGTTGTTTAGTAATACATTATTTGACATCCATAGGTACAATTTCTCATCCGTAAGTACAATTTCTTACGCTGAATCCTCTGCGCTGAATCGAACGGTGGTATTTTTATTTTTATTGCGCCATTAATTAGGCAATACAAATACAAATACAAGGACAAACGTACTGCGAGTGCTTTGATGTCAACAATGCAATTTCGCTTGATTTTCAAAGGCCATAAATCGCTAGAATACTGATGTTTAGTAATACATTTGACATCCGTAAGTACAACTTCTTACGCTGAATCGAACGGTGGTATTTTTATCCTTATTGCACCATTAAGAGGCATTTATAGGCTACAAATACAATATCATATTTCACACTGAGTACACTACAGTCTACAGACAGTTTTCACGGACTGTTGTTCGATAAATTTTATATTGATATGACACCAATGTGCTTCTCATAAAGTAGTTATAACTTGAACTGCACAACGTAGTTTTAATAAATAACGTTTTACCTTGAAATTGTCTTTGGCTCGTTTATATTCAGATTCAGTATATTATGATCGTGCACGGGAATTCAACGATCCAAATTTCGGATTTTCAGAGTCGTACACCAAGGAAAACGCATTAAATAAACTAGCATGAATGTCCAAAGTTAGACACAATGCAAAATCCATTTTCACGAAATGGGGCCCGGAATTGTTTGAAACATTTTGCCCACCCCACGAAAGGCCCCGCCATTTTGAAAAGGATCAAGCGGCTCATTAATATTCTATTTTGTGACTATCGACGATTGGAGATTCACCACAAATGCTTGCCGAAACTTATACTCGCCCGGGGCACAAGTGCCCCAGCGAGTAAAAAGCGTTCAAATTAAGACATTGCCTTAATTTGAACTCTAACCCCACCCAACCCCCTAACCCTAATCTAATCTTAATCTCACCCTAATCCTAATCTAAATCTGATGACCCTTTTCTTTCTTTAAATCTAAATCTGACGACTTTTTTTAAATATTCCCACCACATAGCCTTACTTTTGAGAAGATATCATGTTGAGAATAATGTATTATTAAAGGCCAAATATAAAAAACCCTTCTCTCCAATTTTTTGTATTTCATATAAAACATAAACCTCCCGCCTCCTGGGTGTTTTTAAAATTTAGAAATCAAGGAATCAAAGGCATCACAAACACAACAGAACGGAATCTTCTTACGGAATTTCTGACAGTTTGCAAACAACCAGTGCTTCCATTTTCAAAAAACATAATTTCTTTCCAACTGTTCGAAATTTCCTTATTTTTGAAAAAATTTTCTTGCAATAAAGATCATTGAATTTTACCTCATTTAAAACTGATTTTATAGTAATTTATCTCGAATAACGGGCTATTTCTTGTTGTAGAAGGAACATGGACGTTGCAGGAGCGGAATTACCAAAGGGGAGTGACAAATAGTTTACCTAGATTAACACAAAGGAGAATAAGCAGGGGGGACTGGGGGTCCTCCCCCAGTAAGTTTTCAGATTTTGCATCTCGCAGATCGAACAGGATTTTCAGCATATTTTGAAGCGCATTTCCTTGGAAATTGCCGTATTTTAGGATTTTTTAGAAATAAGGCAATTTCATTCAATCTTCCGAAATTTCCTTCAAATTTCCTTCAGATTCGAATTTCCTTATAATTTCCTTCAACTAAAATCGACTAGATTATTGACTAGTTATTAAAATTTCCTTCAAAAAGGAATGAGCCTGCGATTCTTTCCGAGGATCACAGGCTCGGAGAATTGACGGTGTTCAATTTGATCAATTTCTAAAGTTGTTTCTTTCTGGATTTTTTATTAATTTGGTTAGGGTTAGGGTTGCGGTTAGGGTTAGAGTAGGGATAGAGTTTGGGTTAGTTACATAGCCATTTAACACGTCGTTCATCTTCTGAAAATGACGTCACGTCAACAGGTGGGAAATTTGTCTGCGCATGCGCTACATTTTGCGCGGTTTAAGAGAAAGAGACTTGGGGCAAGTAAATACAGTAATTTGATTTTTGAGCGTTTTTTTCGTTTTTGTCTTGTTTCTTTCTGCAAACCAAAAAATTGTTAATCCATTGCATTGTTGGGAAGGCAAGGAAGGTATGAGAACGTTCACAGGCTAAAAATATTTGTAAAATTGCAAGTTTTGCTTAACCTTATATATTGGAACTGCCTCGAATTCCGATGGAAATGTCCGATGGAAATGTCCCATAATTCTTACTATTCCGTATTTTTAGATGAATCAATTATCTCCCAAAAACAAAGTATATGTTTTAAGGAGTAATTTAAACCATATTTGGTTTTGAGGCTCTCAGCTAGATTTTAAAATATTTTAATTTTTTTTTATTTCATTGTGCTAACCTTTACCCCCATAAATCACCCCGTATTAAATTGGAGAGAGACGGAAACGTATTTGCATGATTTCAAAACTGCTCATAGTTTTCTGAATCAATAGACTCTAATCTTTCAACAAATATGCTTTTACGAACAGGATTAGCAAACACAATTAAGACCATCATGAAGATTAATCCTCACAAAGCTTCGGGAATTGACAAAATCAGTGCCCGTCTTTTACGTATTGTTGCACCAGTTATTGCTCCAAGTATTACTCGAATAATCAATATGTCGCTCTCCACAGGCAAGTTTCCTTCGCGTTGGAAAACAGCCATGGTTACACCCTTATACAAGAAAGGTACTGAATGCGACCCGAGTAACTATCGCCCGATTTCGGTTTTGCCGATACTGTCCAAGGTCATCGAGCGTCATTTTCACGACTCACTATATGCTTTCCTCAACGAAAACAACCTTAGCTATACTAGACAATCTGGCTTTCGGAGAGGTCATAGTACTGAAACCACACTTATTAAGATCATCGATGAACTCTTATTTAACCTGGACAAAGATAAGGTATCCGGTATGGTACTGATTGACTACTGTAAAGCGTTTGATATGGTTGACCATGAACTTTTGTTAAAGAAATTAGAGGTCTATGGTATTGTTAACCACGAACTGCAATGGTGTCAGTCTTACTTACTAAACAGGAAGCAAGTTGTTCGTTTGGGTGGAAAAATGTCAAGTGAGGTAGTTATGAAATACGGGGTCCCTCAAGGCAGTATTCTGGGTCCGCTGTTCTTCATATTATTCATCAATGATTTACCACTACATGTAACTTCTCAAATTGATCTTTACGCAGATGACACTACTATTATAGACTCTTCCGACTTCAGCAATATATCAAATTTAGAACTTTCACTAAACAGTTCTGTTAGAGAAGTACAGCATTGGGCAAACGCAAATAAGCTTTCGATTAATGAGTCCAAGACCAAGGTTCTGCTGATTACGGGAAAAAGGCTTGCGCCCAGGACTGACGAGAAGCTGAATGTTACGCTTAATAATAAGATTCTTGATAGTGTCTATAGTGCACCCTTATTGGGTCTTGATATTGATAAGTTACTATCATTTGATGATCAGATCGAAAAAGTGTGCAAGAAACTAGCTTCTCGCATAGCCGTATTGAGGAAAATTCGGGTCTAGTTGCCACTTAACCAACGCCTACAATATTACAATGCAATCATCCGGCCAGTTATGAGTTATGCCAGCACCATCTGGGGTACTTGCAATAAGATCTTACTGAACAGAATTTTAAAACTTCAGAAACGGGCTGCTAGAACTGTCATGTTTGCAGATCGCCAGGCACCTTCAGTAGCTCTATTTAATGAATTAGCATGGATTCCTTTTTACGAGCAATGTAAAATTGATATATGTGCATTTTTTATAAACGCATACATAATAACTTACCTAGCTATCTTGGCAACTACATTATTTTGAATAATGTACGTAACTCGCGTAACACACGTTATGCTAATTTTAATGCCATTTGCCCTAAATATAAGAGGGAAACTGAGGGTGGACGCACATTTCTAGTTACTGCAACTAAACTGTGGAACAGTATCCCTTTAAATATCAGAAAGGCGGATTCGTTAAACTGCTTCAAGAACAATTTGCGGAGTAACATTCTCAAAGACCAACAACTTTTACATCATTTTAGTATCTAGATCTATTAGCAAATATTATTAACTATACATCGATCTAATTTATAGTCATAGTTTTTAACCTTGTAAACAGCTTATAATATTGTATATATTTTAAACATCAGCATGTAATTAACACTAGTTATGAATGAGGGCCACAAGTTTATTAGCCTCGGCTATTTAGTGCTACCCTCTTTAAATAAAGCTTTTACTTACTTACTTACTTACACATGCAATTTCTAGCGGAATATTCAGAGGCACCTATTCAGACTACTACAGACTACATTAGACGGTTGTGCCGTTTTTTATATCAACCTGTATTTTCATATGAACAATACTTCGATTAGTGAATTAAGAAGTCTTTGAAGAATCATTTAAAGATAGTCTCGTTTTGAGGCTCTCGACTAGATTTTTTGCAAGTTTGTATGCGTTTCATTTAGGACAGGTAATCTCAACTGTTTTAGGGTAAAATGACCATGGCGGTCAACATGGCATATGTGCCAAAACCTGAAGCCTTTCTGAAGTGCTTATAGTGTTCAGAAGGGTTGGTTTAGGGGTGGTCATTGGAAGGAAAAATTTGTCTAAGTATAATATTTTACAAGAAAATGACCATGCACCACCCCAGGTAAATTGCTAATTATGCACAAAATAACTTGTTACTACGTTCACTGTATCAAGAAAGACTTATAAACAGAAGAGTCTTATTTTTAAAATTATTTATTAATGAAAGAAAACGAAAGAAACGAAGAATCAGGATAGTTTAAACTTATCTGTCTATTGACATTGATACAGCTTTGCTTTTCAGACCTTCTCCTTTCACACTTTATAATATAGTTCTTTTCCTTTAAGTCTTTTCCCGCGACAATAACTCGAACAATATCAAATTATTCTTCTTGAACAACAACAATTATTTCTAAACTTGTCTCTGATACTTTTTCTAATACTTTTTAATTCTCCATCCTAGCTTAAGCTTTCGCTGCTTATATACTGTCCGCAAGATATTAATAGAACATTACATAATTATTGTTTTAGATGTTACGTAAACAATAAATATAGCAAAAGCATGAGTCAGCATGACGTAACGTCTTAAATTAAGAATGTTCATGACGTGACTGACTTCACGTCACAAACTAATATGCCTGGCAGAAATTAAATTTTCTTATTTCCTAAAAAAATATCATGGGGTGAAAAACTATGCTAAATTTAATATAATTATTGTGGATTTCATAAGGATTGTAATTTTTTCATTAAATATAATACATTTTATTTCACTAGCCCC